GGCATGAAGGTTGCTGGTAGAGTGAGATGCCTCTGTGAGCACCTCTTAGGTACAGCTAACAGAGCTTTGTAACACTTGCCCCAGTGGGCTGAGAGGCCAAGGCCAGAGAGAAGTGTGCCTGTGGTACAGCTGAAAAGCTGTCCTGATCAAAGAACTGTATCCTGAGTGTTCCCTGAACCTGAACTGTAACTTGTTACTTCCCTAATAAAGCTCATAATCATGAGTATTATCTGTGAGTTCTGTGTGGCCATTGCAATAATCACTGAACACAGTAGTGAAGTACAGAGTGCCATGGAAGGGATGGTTGGTATCAGAATTGGTAAAAGGCTGGCAGGTGGTAGCATGTCTGACTTTTGCCTGATAGGGATCAGGCCTGGGCTGCTGCTGTGACTCTGTTTCCCCCTCATGGGATTGGAGGAGGCCAGAGGAGGATGGTACCCCCACGCCTTTTTGCAGTAGTCAACCTTTGGTGAGAGAAGAAAATGGAATGCCTTAAAAAATGGTATGTGTTTTGTGTTTATCTGAATGTACTATGGATATCATATAATCCAAAACTCTCACTGCCTTCGAGTCGGATCTCACTCATAGTGACCCCTCCTTGGGTTTCCGAGGCGGTATCACTACGGAAGTAGATTGCCCCATCTTATTGGATATGGATGACAGAGAGCATGTAATTCTGCCTTCAGCCAATACTTGAGTGGATATGCAAAAAGGGAAAATAGAATTTGCCTTGAAGAAAAAACAATTCAGAAAATGATGGTGCCTTGCTTCTTCCTTTTCACAGGTGGAGACTCAGACATATCCCACCTTATTCCTGCTTCATTATTATATCAGACAACTCACCTCAAAATGGGACCATAACCACAGCCATACCAAAAACCAAACCCACTGCTATGGAGTCGATTCCGACTCAGTGAACCCATTGGGTTTTCAAGGTGGTAAATCTTTAATCTTTATGGAAGCAGATTGATTGCCCCGTCTTCCTTCTGCAGAGTGAGTGGCTGGTGGGTTTGAACTGTCAACCTTTTGGTTAGCAGTCAATTGCCTTAGACATTAAGCCACCAGAGCTCCTTGTTGTTGTTGTTATGTGCCGTCGAGTCGGCCCGGACTCATAGCGACCCCTCCTTGGGTTTCTGAGGCAGTATCACTACAGAAGTAGGATTGCACAACCTTCCTTCCGAGGAGTGGCTGGTGGGTTTGAACCGCCAGCCTTCTGGTTAGCAGTCAACCAGAGCTCCTTAACCATCTGAAAATGCAGGACTATGGCAAGAAGGGCCATATTAAGTAGGTCATCTTGGCAATGAATTATTGAACCCAGCAGAGAAGTAACAGGAGCCGTGGGAGGACGGCTGGTATAAGAATATAAAGTCGGGAGAATTTATGTTGGTATGTTTGACCTTTGCTTCATAGGAGCCTGTTAGCTTTGTGCTGACGGGAGTCCTTCCCCTCCTGAAGTTAACAGGCTTCAGGCACTACAATCCTACTATCATTTCACACTCTCACACGATATAACCTCTTGAATAATGCTTTGGTTACAGTCACTTGTAGGGACTAATGAGGTGACAAATTAAAGCAGTAATTCAGAGAAATGAAGTAAAGCAATGAAGGCAGAGAAGAGGAAGGGATCCAATGGTATATCAAAGACAGCAGTAACAGGAAGTGGTGGCCAGTGTGAGGATGACACAAGGCTTGTGTTTGGGTTGATCTTTTAACTTTCCTCATCAATCTCTAATAACCTATATTCCACATAATTCCCAGAAACACCAATTCTGAATTGCTTGTGCATTAATGACTGCTCGCTGACAAATGGAAGGGAGCATGTGTTGTTGATTTAGTCCGCGAATTCCTGACTGCCATGCGTCAGGCCAGGGTTCTGTTCCCGGCTAATGCAGCGCAGGCATATGTCAGTGGAGACTCGCATGTTTCTCTGAACCTGAAGAGGGTTCAGTGGCGCTTCCTTACTAAGATGGACCAGGAAGAAAGGCCTGGCATCCTTTAGTCCTATACTGGCCTTACCTTTAGTGGCCTTTCTCCTATGTCTCACTCCAAATATAACTTAGGCTTATCCTGCCAGCTCTTTTCCCGTCTGTGATGGACACTCTCGTATAATACCATTTCTCCAAAGCTTTTGCTGCCCTTTAAGGTGCTTTCTGCCAGCCTTTTTCAGTCAGAAGCTATTGCTCAGCAACTTTTCCCCTTTATTCCCAGGAATACATCTTGGCTGTACACAGAGTTATATGCTCTCTGTTACCTCTGCTGAACTCCCACGTTGTCTGTTTTCAAATTTTCTTTCTTCCTGCGTCCCTCCCTCGCTACCTTTCTCCCTTTATTTTTAACAATGTTTAAACGAATCGACCATATTACCTTTTTGCCTAGAGTGCTAAATGGAAGCAATATGATAAGTGCTATGTATTCTTTGTGAAGCTTGTACCACTGAAAATCTACCCTCTTTTTTTTTTTTTTGCAAGAATCCAAGAGACAGGGTATCAGTTTTATGGGCTTTCCGGTTTTCTCGGCCGTTCCTGGCTGCTCCCACAAAAGACGTTCTCTTTTTTCCTGTACGGCGGGCATCCAAATATGGCTGCCTTCACACAGACGTACTAAGAAGGGCGACGACATATTACCTCACAGGGCAATGCCGGATATCCGTTTTTCGCGCGCCTTCAAAGCTTCCAGACCCTCGGCAGCCTCCGTAGGCGCACCATGATTCTGCGTTTGGTGGTGGGCGGGCCGAGAAGCAGAACTAGTTGACAAGGAAGTGTAACTTTTTGGAAGCACTTTTTGGTAGTTCAGGAGAAAAACTGGTCAGTGTGTGATCTGTCGATGGAGCCTGGCGAAAAAGGTGTGTGCACGGGGGGTAGTGAGGGAAGCGTCCGGGTGGAGGTGCTTGAGGGAAAGCCGGTTGGACTCCGGTGACTTTGGAGTCAGGCGTGGGTGAGTGCCTTTGAGTAAAGCTGTCGCGACTGTCAGAGGACCGGGTGTTTGCGGATTCCTCTGCTTGTAAAGGTGGAGGTGGTATGTACCATGAATGCGGTGTCTGGTTAGGGTTCAGGAATTCCTAGGGGGCTCAGTGAAATTGGAGCCGGAGGCATGCACAACGTGGAGGAGTTTCTGGTCAAGGCTTCGCGTTCCTAAAGGCGTGAGGGTGATGAGAGTGGTACCGAGGCTTATGACAACAAAGCTTTGGAGGCCCAGGACCGCAGGAGCCGTAGCTGCTGGAACGGAGGGCGGCCAATTGCCTGCATAGTAGTTGGAAGACCTGTAGTCATATTTTTCTAATTTCGTAGTTGGCTGACTATTGCCTGAGGGATCAATTCTCCTTGCAGCCCTTTGGTCTAGGGCTGCTTTCCTGCTGGGCATCAATAATTTCATTTAGCAGGATGAGCACAAAACTAGTTCCTATGATGCGGAGGTTAAAAAAGTCTCAAGTGCCCAACTTTTCCAAACTGCTGTAGCACTCTGTCATCTCTCACATCAACTTCTCCTCCTCCCCTCAGTACTCACTCTCGCCTCTTTGGGTTCCGTGATTCACTGCAATAGACATTACAGAACTCATGAACTGTCAGGGAGATGGCTGTCTGGGTAGTGGGGGCTGGCAAGGCCCAAATCTGTGGGTCAGGCATCAGTCTGGAGACTTCTCCTCACTCATTATTGCCTCTCTCCTAAGTCTCAAACCAAAAACAGAGCTCGCTGCTGTAGAGTCTATTCCAACTCACAGTGACCCCCACTGGGTTTCCAAGGCTGTAAATCTTTACAGAAGCAGACTGCCTCATCTTTCTTTTGTGAAGCAGCTGGTGGGTTCGAAACACCAACCTTTTGGTTAGCAGCCAAATGCTTTAACCACGACACCCGTAGAGCTCCTTTTAAACCTAGTGGGTAGCGGAACTACCTGATCCACTCAATGGAATTTGGGCAATCTCCTTCCATAGTGATACCACCTCGGAAACCCAAGGAGGGGTCATTATGAGTTGGGTTTGCCTTGATGGCATGTAACAACAACACCCCCCACAGGGTTGCCATGCATCTTATTTGCATTATCAGCAAGCTATCCTGTGCCCTTGCTGTTCCACAATGTCTTTATTTTCATAGTTCTTGTCAATTGTTTGGTGAGAGTTACAAGACTATGGGTAGAAAACCCATAGAAAAGTGATCCATTATAGTGCATTGGGTTACTACAAATAATACTGCTTTGAAAATACTGGTGTATGTCTCGTGGTTCAAATGTATACTCGTTTAGGGGGGTATATACCTGTGACTGGGAGCTCTGGTAGTGTAGTGCCTAAAGGCACTTGACTGCCAACCAGAAGGCTGGCAGTTCAAACCCACCAGCCACTCCTCGGAAGGAAGATGGGGCAATCTACTCCCGTAGTGATACTGCCTCGTAAACCCAGGGAGGGATTGCTATGAGTTGGGTCCAACTCCACGGCACATAACAACAACAACAACAACAACATACCTGTGACTTAAATTTTTATTTAAAAGTTTATGTATAACTTCAACCTATTAGATGATACTTAAGTGTTTTCTAAAGTAATTGTACTGCTTTACAGTTTCTTCAGCAGAACAGTTTTCAGTTTCTGGTTAGGGTTGCTATGAGTTGGAATCAACTTGATGGCAGTGGGTTGGGTTTGGTTTTTTGTTTTATGTGGCATGTTTCAAGTATATTTTCCAGACCCAAGTGTAAACTTACCTTCTTAAAGCTTTGTTCGTTTGTCATCCTGTTTGAGAGTCACACTTGACCACAAATTGATTGTTTTGTATGTTGTGAGGTAGGGGTCAACCTATTTTCTTTTTCTTTTTTTTTTCACATATTTTTATATATCTGGTAATGCAAATATCCTTTTTGTAAAAGACATCTTTTACCCATCTCTGCAAATTTGTAATCTTAGATTTTATTGTCCATGGTTGTAAAAGTTGCCAAAGAACAGTATGAAGGGTCTTGTGCTAACAATAGTGCCATTAGTAACAGCATTTGGGCCAAGAGGTAATGTACTACTCATGTTGAATTTTCTCTTTACCTTACAGGTCCTGAGTCCCCAGCAACAAAAGAATCAGTGGAAGGAAAGACAACAGGGTTGCAATATTAGCATATTGTCATTTCTGGAGACTCTCTTCACAGAAGATTGTAATTTCTGAACAGAACTTAGAGCTGATTCAGGAAACACAAAAACAGAGGATCCCAGTTGCTGACCGTGTCCCAAGAACAAAAGAAAATGATTAAGGCTCAGGTGACTTTTGTTTTCTTTTATGCTTTCCTTTGTTTCTTAATGGATTTGCAGAGGCCTGTAAAATACCTGTTCAGTTCATCTGAAAAGTACAAATTTGGAAAACTAGAAGCTGGAGAGAAGTAAACTGTTACTCTGAATTGGACATCAGACAATGTGGGATAGGAATATAGTATTTTTGGATTAACACTAAATTATTGACATCAAACATAGTAAGCAACTGGAGATTCTGAGTTGCATTAACTGAGAAAAACAAACTTGCTGCCATTGAGTTGATTCTGCCTCATAGCAGCTCCCACTGGGTTTCCAAGGTGGTAAATCTTTACTGAAGTAGATTGCCCTGTCTTCCTTCTGTGGAGCAGCTTACGGATTTGAACCACCTACTTGGTTAGCAGTCAAATGCCTTAGGTACTGCACCACCAGAGCTCCTTTGAATTGCATTCCAAACCAAACCAAATTCGCTGTTGTTGAGTCAGTTTGACTCATAGCGACCCCTCCTTGGATTTCTGAGGAGATAAGTCTATGGAAGTAGATTGCCCAATCTCCCTTCCGAGGAGTGGCTGACGTGTTTGAACCTCCAGCCTTCTAGTTAGTAGTCAGATGCCTTAGGCAGGCCACATCTGGCCTCTTGTAAGCTCGGTAGGCTCAGTAGGGTGAAGAGAATCTTCATCAGCATCAGCCGAACCTGATTCCTATGAAGTAGAGGTCAGATATATCTCTTCTCTCCAACTTTTTTTTTTTTAATTTACCAGTTCTTATACCAGTTGTTGCTCCCTTGGCACTCTTCTCTTCTGGGTTCTTTGGAAAAACAGTTTCAGAGATTTTTCCCCCAATCCCTGAGGGGTTACCTTTGCCCTAGTTTTCTACCCCAGAGGGTTTATGACTTTTGTCAGGTTGGTTGACATTTCCTGAGTAAGTTGTTCACAATTTGGTCTGATGCTTTCTGGCTGCCCCTGGGCTGCAGCCTGGCCTGTGATTGGTAGGCATCTTGCGGAGATTGCTCAGGAGGCTATGAAAATGAATGTGTGGTAGCCCAGTCATGCTTACTATGCAAATGGAAGTGTCTGCTAAGTGGGGCTTAGTGAGTTTATAGCCATGCCTTGAAATTTGTAGGTAAAAGCAGCCAGCCCCACAGAGGTTTGTCAGAAAGAAGCAGGAAGCAGAGAGAGAAGAGAAGGAAAGAACCTCGTAAAAGAGTTGTAAAAATGGTCAAGGGCTGTAACACTGAAGATACAGGTCGTAAAAGGGGCCTAGGATCAGAGCCGGTGTCGACAATCCCAGAAGGGGCTCAGTGGGAAAATGTGTGGTGACTCATGGCAGGACCAAGAGGAGCTAAGGGAGCTGTCCTATACTGAAAAAGAGACTGCTCACATGCTTCCTGATCCTGATTCCTGAGTTGTAGCCTGTTCCTTAATAAACCACTTAACTGAAAGTGTGGTCTGTGAGCTCAGTGTGGCCACTGCAATGGATTAATTAACTCAGAAAAGAAGGAGATAACACTGTAGGAGGGATGAATGGTATCTGAATTGGTAAAAGGGTGGAGATATGACTGACCTTTTCCCCATAAGGATCAGCCTTGGGCTGATCCTGGTCATTTTCTCCCTATGAAGTTAAGCAGGTTCTGACAACACTAGTGTTACTCCAGTGCTCCTAGTGCCATTTTCTACCGTTGATTTGTCTGTTGACATATTTACATACATGTTTGTGCATTGTGTATATGTGTTTGTGTGTATGTATAAATGTGAGAGATTTCCAGCTTATGGAGACAATTTTACTTTTACACATTACAGAAAACTATAATTTCATGAGTGAGTAGATTATGGAATGCAGTGATTCAGAATAATTTATAAAGATTTTGCTTTTCCTATAAGATGGGAAAAAAAACCCCGCAAAAACCTAGGTATATAGATACAGCAGCCAATATAGAGGAAATGGGCAGAACAACTTCTTTCACATTTCAGTCATATCAACAAATGGAGAATACTTCATTAAACAGAATTCTCTTGATACAGGGACCACTGACATTCAGTGATGTGGCTGTGACATTCACTGGGGAGGAGTGGCAGCTTCTGGACCCTACTCAGAAGGCCTTATACCAGGATGTGATGTTGGAGAACTATAGCAACCTGATGTTCATTGGTGAGGACAACTCTCCTGTTGTTGGTCTTTCATTTCTCAGCAGCTGAAATCTTTGGTGGGCTCTCACGTGGCAGATTCTTAGTCCACTCTGACCCTGGATAAGGGGGTATATTTTTTCAAATGTTGTTGTTATTTGCCATCAAGTCGGCCCCAACTCATAGCGACCCCTCCTTGGGTTTCCGAGGCAGTATCACTACGGAAGTA